GGGCAAGAGGCCACGAGCCGATGTCGCAACGCGGAGCTCTCCGCCTATTGAATGGTGGCGGTTTCCACCAGCGCCCGGAGGTTCTAGTGGATTGCCTATTCCTAGGGGTCGGTAGGCTTCGGAAGGCCACGCAGAAGCATCGCCACAGCAATGATGTTCTGGCCCGCACGAGCAAACTGTGGGGGTCATTCCCTCTGTCCAGGATGTTACGTTGGACCTAGCGAGCGTGACCCTAAGTGCCGCTTGCTGGGTTACACGCACGTGGCACAGCATGCTGCGCCGAGCGTGCCAGCGTAGGTGGTGGCTGAATCTGTCGCCTTTGTCACAACTCCTCGCCGTGCTCCTATGCACGTGTGAGGGCCTTCACACGAGGGTTCGGAGGGGTGTGAGTCTATAGAGATTCCGCTACCATCGGTGGCTGTCCCAGGGCGTCCACCATAGCGCACTCCTAGGACAGAGGGTGGCCAGATGCCACGGCATCAACAATGCTGGAGCCGTCACTTTTGACCTCGTCATCTACGAGGTCGTGAAAGGAGGTGGGAGCGTAGCCCGCCATCCCCACGAATTTAGATGTGAGAGGGGGCGACGTCCGCATCCTTCGGAGCCCCCGAGCGCACGCGTCCATGGGGGACGCGAAGCCATAGGGGAATCGGTCATACGATGGACGCGGTGAGGACAACGGGGTCCCTCCAGAGAGTCGGCGGAAGGTGTTAAATAGTGAATAAAGAACAATATGCACGTTACTTACCATGGCGTTTGAGCCTAGCATGGGCTCGAGGCGAAGCGTGGGTGTCTCGACGTTGAGGTCGTCGAGTGGCCCGGAGCCGGCGGAGAGCGCTCCTCCTCCAGTGGGCACCGAGACAAGTGCCTCCTCGTGGAGGCAAAGTACGCCGAGCTGGTCAGCGACGAAGTCCAGACTTCCAAAGAGGAAGGTCTGGAGCGGCTCAAAGACGGGAGGAACCCACATCCCAATAGGTGGGAGCGTGGGAAACTCCAGTGAGCCAAAGCGAATCGTATCGCTTGAGCCCGCCATGCCGAAGATGGTGGAAAGATGGGCCATCCGATGACCAAAAGCGTGAAAGCACAACGGCTTCCCCACGGACGGCGCCAACTGTTGGTGCGAAAAGTGACCAATAAGTAAATATTTGTAGTTTCGCCGTACATTGTGATCGGATGTGGCCTAGCACTCAATGATATAGGATTTATACTGGTTCAGGCAACGTGCCCTACGTCCAGTTTCAGTCGGTAGGTGACTTTATTCCTAAGCCCAGGTGCTCGAAGTTTGTTATGGGGTTACAAACGAGTAGGAATAAGAAGGGGGTGTTAAAGGCCCGGTCGAACTCTGAACCGAAGGGCCGAGAGTGACGGAGGCTCTAACGTGCGCTAAGTATTGGAGCGTATGCTCTGTGTAGCTTTAGAGTTCTAGAGCTCTTGAGCTATTCGAGTTCTCAGGTCGAGTGCTCGAATCGTCTAGCTTCTCATTTTTGAAGAGAGCCAGAGAGCCAGAAAAAACCAGATCCCCTTTTAGGAGAGAGCTTATCCCCTTTTATAGTTGAAGGGGATGGGCTCTTACAAGTCAGAGAAAGAGAGAGAATGTATACGTGTGCTACCTAGTCTTGTTGCCCACGTTGTCGGGTACGAGGCGGTCATCGGCGCCCACAATACTATTTATATTTAGATGCATGTTGCAGGCTCTACCATGTTCGCCTGGTATGGCAAATGTCAGCGCCTACAATATTGTTTGGGTTCTGACACGCCTGGAAGGTTGCATACTATCTATCAGGCATGGCCTGGTGGCACCATCCAGTAGGTGCGTAGGGTATGGCAGGGTACGGTCCTCGGTAATGCGGTTTGACTTGAGCGTTTTACCTTATCTGCTCCGCTTGATCCCCGGGCCCTCACCTAGCGGGCATCCCCGGTCGGTCATTCCTAGTCAGCCCGACCGTGTCGGTCGGGGAAGAGATGCAAGCGGAGGTCCGGCGTATCCCGGTTGGAAAAGGAGGTCGGAGTCGGACTATGTCCCCACCTTGGCCAGGCCTTCCGGTCGGGGACCGGTTCGTTCTCTCGGCCTGTCATTTGGTATCTGGGTCGGTCCGGGAGGCGCGCGTTGTCGCTACGCCGTCTGCTGGACCAAATTTTTGCTGGGAAGCGGGCCTATTGGGGACCCTGGGTTTATGAACTCGACACATTTGGAACATACACTAGGAACGTATGTGTATAGCCACTGCAACATATGCAACATTTAGATAAAAACATGCAAACATCCAGATGAAACAGCTGAAACGTTTGGAAAACACACTTGCAACATACATGTATAACCACTGCAACATATGCAACATCCAGATGAAACACTTGCAACATACGTTTGAAACAACTAAAACATTTAAAACATACAATTGCAACATACGTATATAGTCATTGCAACATATGCAACACTAGATCTACTTTTGCAACATTAGATGAAACATATGCAACATATATCTAAAATGCATAAAATATACGGTTGCAACATTTGCTCATCTACTTGCTGCCGCCCAATGAAGGCTCCTTGACGCGGGCGTGGGGGAGTACAGCGCGAGGCGTGGGCAGCGCGCGACGCGAGGCACGAGGTGCGGACGGCGCGCGACGCGAGACATGGACGGGTGCATGGCATGAAGCGGGTTCGCGCGTGAGGCATGAGGCGCAGGGGTGTACTGCACGCGAGGTGGGTCAGTCCCAATGGAAGTGTCCAGATTTTTTTAAATGGAGAAGACGTGAGGGGAGTTGGACCGGTCAGACCTGGTCCGCAGGCCCAGCGAAGGCACACTTCCGTCCAAATAGACACTCGGTAGAAAGCATTACCGAAAAAAATGAGGCATCAAATAGTTGTTCAAAAACAATTTAAAATATCCCATACAATAAGACCATTATTACGGTAAATTCAATAGAAAAAAGTGAGAGAAAGAGAATGCGAGGAGCAATCAAAGAGTGGAAGGGGAAAATATATTACCTTCGCGTAGAGTAACCTTCTACTTACCCCTTCTTTTGTAATAAAGCGTCGTTTGATCCATACGAACTCCAATGCCATACTTTGTCTGTTATTAATATCACAACTATGAATTTGGCATCATATAAAACTACTTTTAACCATGAATCTGACGATACTAAATTTGTATGGCATCGTCAAAAAAAGTGATATGGTACAACCTACAAAATCCTGGTGTAAGTGGTAGCCAAATATTAACAAGCTTGAATCTTGGATTGTGTGTGCCATAATCCATATAGACAGTATTTTCGGTCATTCCATTCCACTTCATAGACTAGACCCTTAGTTACAATCAATTTTAAGACAAGCTAGCAAGCAATCGTGCACATTGCAACAGAGCTTACAACTTATTATACAATTTCTTTAATTATAGAATTTAATTAGACTTGGTCCGACCTCATTTTAACTAAATCAAATAAATTCTAAGAAAGATATTAGGTGCAATATAAAAGATTAATCATGCATTGAAAATTGGCTAGAGATTGACTTAATATAAATGAGTGGTCTTTGTGCGCGCTACGTTGAGAAAGGTGGAAAGCGAGCCACACACACGTGCACGTTAAAGGCGTGCCAAGTCACGACACGATACACGGGCTTGACTCAGGCTAGCTAGTCCACGGCATGTCACATGAGTGCCACAATGCTAGCAAATGTTTTATAGCTCGAAGTTGTAACCGACGCATTGAAGGAGGATATAGTCTACCTTCGCTGGGTGCCTAGGCCTTGGACCAAACTCGTGCCATGGGTTTATATTTGTCATCCATATAAGCCACAGACAACTGAGCCAAGAACAGAAGCAAAGGACCAGGAGTAATGTAAAGAGGGGTAAAAATGAGTGAAGAATCGATAGACATAAGATGAGGAATAAATTATCTTACTTAAATATTAAACATATAATATGCATAGTCGTGCTGTGCCTCTCACGGTCACAAAAGGAAACCAGTTTTAGATATTTACGAGATGATCAATACTCCCTCTTGTCCCGTGTTAGTTGTTGTTGTAGAAATGGTCTCAGAGACCAACGCGCAAGCCAAAAGACCCTGACATCACTACATTGGCATCTTGTAGCTAACGGCGACGTCGAGCTTGGCAGCACCTGCTCCGACTGGGAAATAATATTTTTCTGAACTCTCCACACCGGATAGAGACATCAGCAGTGAATTTCCTTTTTCTATTCGATCTTACTCCCTCCGTCCCATTGAGTTTGTCGTTTGAAAACCGTGCCCCTCAAGACAAGAAGTGACTCAATGGGACTTGATGAAGACAAGAAGTGTTGGTACGTTGGTGGTTAGCGCGCGTATCTTTGGTCTATAACGTCAACAATTGTTTGATAAATTTTGAATCTCAAAATGTATGTATTCTGGGATGGAGGAAGTATACTACTTTAAAAGGTAACCACGAACGAGAAAGTGTATGCAAAATATGAAATGCCATAATAATAGAACTTTCCGAGGTGTATTTTAGATATATACTCCCCCCAACCAAAGCATTGTGCGGTCAAACAGCACTCTCCTTTTTGAGATTATAAAATCAAACCACCCATATACCGAAGTAGCAGTATATTGCCGTAATTTCCATGCATGTAGGCTGCTGATTAACCGTTGATTAAACTGTGCTTTGCTGTCAGAATCTGATGCTTTACAACTGAGTCAGCAGTGAAATTTCCATATCCCTATTTTTTTATCCCCAACAACCGGTGGACTGTTTCTCCAACGGGTCAAGCGCGACAAGAGTGCGCGGTCTCCGTCTTCGGCCCGCGGTAGTTCTTGCTTTCCAAGTTCCAACAACTCCATTTTCGGTCGCCTCCCCCCTCTCCTCACTTCCTCGAACTCCGAGCGGGCGGCTGCGATTCCCAGCGTCCGAGCACCCCGCCCCCAGTCTCCTCCGCGGGGAAGGACCGGCCTTGGGCTGCTACGGCGGCGGATGAGCGAGCTGCCGGTCAGTGTAGCGGCGGAGTAGTGGACGAGCGGGCCCCATGAGGTTCGGCTCCGGGAGGGTGGAGGACGAGATGGCGCTCACGCGGCAGAGGACCGTGAGGTGAGCACAACGCAAGGAGTACCGAGCTATTTACTGTTTCTCAGAATGTTTTGGGGGCTTGGGGAAGTGGTTGGTGGCCTGCAGGTGATCGAAAGCCTGGGTAAAGCAGCAATTTTGCAACGAATTTTCTTGGTTTTGGAGGGGATGGGAGGAAGAATCTTGGTTTGGGTTTCCTAAGTTGGTTGTTCCCGTGCTCTTGGTCTCTCGGACTTGTTTGTAGCTCGTTAGTCGTAGTACCTGTGTGAAGCTTGGAACTTAGTGTTTGATTTTAGTTCCTTGATTCGGATATAAAATTAGTTCGGTACTAAGACTATAGCGAGTTCCGTGATTTTGATAGCTAATTGGAGTTATAGTTTAGTTTCTGGTGAGTAGAAACAGATAGGGGATTAACAGTATGTGGATGGATGGGATAGCACGATATACCATTTTTGGGATTAGCAAACAATCACTGAAGTGTCCAATATGCTATTTTTGGTGCTACCTATATAGGGCAATCCTAATGCTATTTTCCATTCACAGATTCCATGATGAGAGGGCAAAGGCAACTATTCCCATTCACCAGAAGCAGCATGGGCTGGCTGCTAGCAGGCTCTCCTTGGGAAGTTCGGGGAAAAACAAGGTCTTTGTGGCAGGAGATGACTTGTGGTACAACAAGATTATTGACCCGTCAAGCGATTTCATCTTGACATGGATATACGTCTTCCGCGTGTCATGCTTCATTGCTCTGTTCATGGACCCTCTGTATTTCTATGTGCCTGAAATCGATTACAGGCAAACCAATCATTGTGTCAGGAAGGATACACGCCTAGCCATCATCGTTACTGTATTCCGATCAGTTGTCGACCTCTTTTATGTCATCCAGATGATAATAAAGTTCAGGACTGCATACCTTAATCCAAGCTCAAACTTAGGGGTTTTTGGTCGAGGAGATCTCATCACAGATCCTAAGGAAATCGCAAAGCGGTACTTGAGATCTGACTTTGCAGTTGATTTGGTGGCTTCTTTGCCTTTACCACAGGTAATTCAGCTCATTTTCGGAACTGAATGCTGCAATCTGTTAGGTCGCATATATACTTCATTATTGACTTGTTGTTTTAATTCAAATGGGCGCTACTGAATTACCAAATATAACTTTCTTTTTAAGGTTTCACCCATTGTCTCATTAACCGTGTCCCCCTGGTACACCTGCTCTCTTGTGGGAAAGAAGTTTTTAGGGAAAAAAAAATGAAACATGCCTTCTCAATTTCTTACCCTTGAAGATTATGTGCTATAGTTGAGAGTTTGTGGATGGTAAAACCATCTGATATCTGATGTTCTGAGTTACAGCTATAATCTGACTATCTAATATATACCTTTTCTTCTTTCTTGCAGATCGTTGTTTGGTCTGTGATACCAGCTATCAAATATTCTTCGTCTGAGCATGGCAATGACATGCTGCTTCTGGTTGCTCTTTTCCAGTATATCCTAAGATTATACCTCATCTTTTCCTTGAATGATAAAATAGTCAAAATTACTGGAGTTTTTGCAAAGACTGCTTGGCAAGGAGCTGCATACAATCTGCTGTTATACATGATTGCTAGCCATGTATGATGTTTATATGAGTAATACTTGAATGTTTTGCCATTTCATATTTTTGGAATTTGTCATATTACTTTTAGACTGCTACCATTTTTTTTTCTGTCTTGCTATCCTACTGTGGAATATCTAATCATGCAGTTCTCTTCTTTCAGGTTTTAGGAGCGCTGTGGTACCTTCTATCTGTTGATCGCCAGATCACTTGCTGGAAAAGGTTTTGCAATGAAACTGATTGCCACACTCGGTATATGTATTGTGATGTAAAACCAGATTCGAGTTGGAATGGGACCTTAGTATTTTCTAGTTGTGATGCTAAGAACACTAACAAATTTGACTTTGGTATGTTCCAGCCATTGTTATCAAACAAAACTCCTAATGAGAGCTTCCTGAAGAAGTATATCTATTGCCTCTGGTGGGGCTTGCAGAATCTAAGGTATGACTTGCTGAACACATGTTCTTTTATGACTGTTAATTGTGTCTCAAAGAAAAAAGGTACCGCTGTAATTTACAACTTGTGGAAGTACAATATTAGTATTCTCTGTTATTAAAAGAGAAACTCAGAGATAACATAAGCAGATCTATGTTAAGTGCTAATATGATATGCTAACTTGGGTTATGCATGGAAAGCACGCACAAAGATATAACAGGAGCAATTAACCTTATAATCTGTATGATGATCATATTATGTTTCTAACATGCTATTTTGGTACCCATTTTTTCTACAGTTGCTATGGCCAGACATTGAATGTGAGCACCTTTATTGGTGAGACACTTTATGCTATACTCTTGGCAGTGGTTGGTCTAGTCTTGTTTGCACATCTGATTGGAAAAGTTCAGGTACTTTCATCTATGCTATATGCAATGAGGAATAGAATCCTAAGATTTTGCTCTTGATTTGTTCAAACTTCCCCGTTCATATCCCACTTGGTAGTGTATGTGTGTTTTTACTAATGTGTGATAGTACATCGTGATTCTCAGTCTGTAAATATTCTAGCTTATCTTAAGTTGGTAGGTTGAAATTACCAGTTAACCTTACCGAACAATCTCCCCAGTCCCATCATGTTCATGCATTAAGTTAGTTTTGTTTTCGCTGCGTAATATCAGTGGTTCTTTGACAAGGAACATTGTTCTGATCAAAATATATTTTCTGCTAGACCTACCTGCAATCAATCACCGCTAGGGTTGAGGAGTGGAGGCTAAAGCAGAGAGATACTGAGGAGTGGATGAGACATAGGCAACTGCCCCATGAACTACGGGAAAGAGTGAGAAGATTTGTTCATTACAAGTGGCTCGCAACTCGAGGTGTGGATGAAGAATCTATATTGAATGCCCTACCTACAGATCTTCGTCATGACATCAAGCGCCACCTTTGTCTGGATCTCGTTCGTAGGGTAAATTAGCTTACTACCTTTGCTCTCTTATATTTTGGTCAGCAGCACAGTTGATAGTGCTAGTTCAATGCTTATCCCTTTGTGAGGTGATGAATGGTACACCTGTAACGGTTACAGTCTAAGGGATAACCTGATCATGAGCATTACTTATTAATCTTTTATATTGCAATGCTGCAGGTCCCACTTTTCTCCCAGATGGACGATCAACTTCTGGACGCCATATGTGAGCGTCTTGTATCTTCCTTGAGCACAGAGGGCACATATATTGTCCGTGAAGGCGACCCAGTGACTGAGATGTTGTTCATCATTTGTGGTAAGCTGGAAAGCTCCACCACAGATGGTGGCCGAACAGGTTTCTTCAATTCAATCACCCTCAAACCTGGAGATTTCTGTGGCGAAGAGCTCCTCGGATGGGCTCTTGTTCCCAAGCCTACCGTCAACCTGCCGTTATCCACTCGGACAGTGAGGGCGATTGTCGAAGTTGAGGCCTTTGCTCTCCAAGCTGATGATCTCAGGTTCGTCGCCAACCAATTCAGGCGCCTCCACAGCAGAAAGCTGCAGCACACATTCCGATACTACTCTCACCACTGGAGGACCTGGGCCGCGTGCTTCATCCAGCACGCTTGGCGCCGCCTGAGAAGGAGGAAGATGACCAAGGACCTGAGTATGAGGGAGTCGATCTCCTCCATGAGATCATACGAAGGCGACAACTCCCCTGAACAGAATCTCGCACTTAGAAGAGGAGCCAGCATCATCAGAGAACTGCCTAAGTTCAGGAAACCATCGGAGCCAGATTTCTCAGCAGAGCATGATGACTGACTGATGGAGAACTGAATAGCTGATACATTATTTGTTAAGGCAAGATTGCTTTGCAAACAAACCCTGCTAGTCGCTTGTCCCCTGCAAACAAGCATTGGTTTCAGGCTGGCTGGTGACTGATTGTGGATAATAGTGGCTTGATATTGTGGGCTAACCTATTGTTAGTGCATTTTCACCAGGTGTGCATCCACCGGTTGTTCATACTGTACATACATATGTAGTTGTGCTTGTGGCATTGTATTGTAGGGATCTCACCTTAGATTAGATGATTACTTGTATTGGCTGGCCGAACAGATTTTACTTCCCTGGCCAGGGCACTACCATTCTTATTTCTTCCACGTGTGTAAATTGCTGCAGGATGTACTGTTATCTGTTTCTCTTACGCCGGTTTGGTTATTGATTCTGTGAAATTTGTGGTCTGATTACCGAGAATTTAATCATTTTACAGTTGTGCCTGCTCTCTTCTCAATGTCACAAATGCGGTTGGACTTGAATAGTCTGTACGTCGTAGCGCGTACAGCAGTTTTTTGTTACGTTGTTTTTTTACGAGGAGCTCCAGAAGTTCCATCCCGTAGCTTCTTTGGCAAACACCGCATCACCCTTGATGAACTTCTGACTGTACCCTGTGACAATGCTTAACCTGAAAAGAACATTTTTCACAATATTTGAATGAAGAACATCTGAATTAGCAAATCTCCTAAAGATCGTTGCATCATTGCTAGAGAGTTGTTTGTCTAAAGATACCAGGCAACCATCTTCTAAAACTCAATTACCATAATTGTTTCTCCTTGCAAGCTTGCATGGAAACATCATAATGGGCCAGACTCACTGGTCGAACCTTGCCCTGCTAAAAGTCTAAAACTTCTTCTGGGTCTGGGGTTGCCAGCTTACAATGTTCAGAAGGCACAACCGCGAAATCAAAATGCCTCACAGGGCAATATAAATTATATATAAAACCTCGATGACAACCCAACTGAACTGCTATTACCAACGAAGCTACCCAGCCAGCTGAACAATGACACCGGGCTAAATGGAACATATATACAAAGATCATGAACCATTTTAATGATAGCAGCACGCTCATCAGTCATCAAACCTCACGTGTTGTTATCTTCAAACAAGTGAATCTTTTAAGGCAAAATGGTGTAGTCATGAGATCCACCGGTTTGACTTACCTATATAAACTGCTATAAGATCAAGGAAGGAAGCAAGTTCACCTAACAGAAGGACAAAAGGTACAGCTGATTCCCTTATGCATCTCCTTGAAGCTGACTTGATCCATACCCATCCATCTCATACTCACCTTCCTGCCTATTGATGATGGGCGACTCCCTGTGCTTGGTACTGCGAAGGCGTTCAAGCCACATGTGCAGCCTCTGCAGTGACATCGACCTGGTGCGAGACGCTTCAGCCCTGAACTCGTCTCGCTTCTGGTAGACGAAGATGCTGAGGCTGATGAGGAGCGCAAGGCCAGAGGTCAGGCCACTGATGAGCAACAGCCCACTGAAGATGCTGAAGACGAGCCTGAACGAGTTGATGCCTGTTGGCTCCTAGATCTTCGCGAACGGGTGAGCCGTACCTGCGTTGCCGACCACACACTGTGACTAGAGGTAGAAGAAGAGAAGGAGAACAGAGCACATACACAGCACAAGTACCAGCGTTGGCCGGAGCTCTGCAGAGGAGATGACAAAACTTAACTCGCTCTCTTTACTGAGTTGCAGTGGGAAGCTATATATACAACTCTACCTATCTAATCCTACAGTGAATAGATGTAACAGCAGGGCTGACTTTGGTGCATGTCCCTGCTGTGGCTACACTGCGGCAGGAGAGTCTTTTAGCGCCTTTGCCTCGCTAGCCTACTTCTGATGCAGTGGCGAGAGCCATTTTCGGCGTCTGCTCCCTGAAACAAATTCACACATATCAGGGAGCAGCAAATTACTTAACAATTCTTTCCATAATCCTGCTGCTAACCCTAGAACCCCTCCATGCCGATCATCTTCTTCAGCTCCGTGAGCCGAAGACGGCCGAGCGGCTTGGTGAGGACGTCCGCGAGTTGCCGATTAGTTTCGACGAACTTGATGACGATCTGCCCTCCATCGATACATTCCGTGAGAAAGTAGAACTTGACGTCGATGTGCTTGCTCCGGTCGTGGAGAACCAGATTCTTCGCGAGGACGATGGCGGGCTGGTTGTCCACCATCAGTGCTTGTGGGTGAGCTTCCACACCGGTCAGCTCGCCCAGCAGCCGGCGTAGCCACACAGCTTGGCACGCCACTGTGGCCACCGCCATGTACTCTGCCTTGCACGTGGACAACACCACCACCTTCTGTTTCAGCGACAACCATGAGATTGGAGCCGACCCGAGGAAAATAAGCATGCCAGAGATGCTCAACCGTCCGTCGATGTCTCCCACCATGTCTGCATCGCTGAACACAGTGAACTACAGCCTGCTTTCGTCGGTCTTGGGGAAGACGATCTCCTGATCCACCGTCCCCTTGACGTAGCGCAGCAGCCGCTTCACCGCAGCCCAGTGATCCTCTCGGGGATCCTCCATGAAGCGACTGACGTAGCCCACGACGAACGTAATGTCCGGTCTCGTGTGGACTAGGTAACGCAGACCGCCGACGATGCTCCGGTAGAGTGTTACATCTACCTTCGCCGCGGTACTGGCCTTCATCAGCTTCAGCCGCTCCTCCATCGGAGTCACGCACGGCTTGCACTCATCCATGCTGCACCGCTCCAACAGCTTCGAGGCGTACGAGCTCTGACCAAGCGTGAGCGCCTACTTCCCTTGTCTCACCTCGATGCCGAGGTAGTAGGAGAGCGCGCTGAGATCGCTCATTCGAAAACGAGCTGCCATCTCGCGCTTGAAGCTATCGATGTCCTCCGCACGCGCGCCGGTAACGATCAAGTCATCCACATACACGCTGATTTTACGTCCAGATGATGGACGCGGCAGTCCTTTGCTGCTACCAAAGCCAGAAGCAGTCGGACAGACTCCATGCGCGCTACCGGCACAAAAACTTTCTCGAAGTCGATGCCCTCGCGCTGGACAAAGCCTCGAGCGACGAGGCGCACCTTGTGCTTGACAATGGCGCCGCGCTCGTCCCTCTTGACCTTATACACCCACTTCAGGCCGATCGGACGGCATCCTGGAGGTGGATCGACGAGCTCCCAAGTCTTGTTTTCCTCGATCGCCTTCATCTCTTCTAGCATCGCTCGTCGCCAATTTGCATCGAGCTCAGCCAGCACGAACATGGGTGGTTCCTCTGCACTTACGAGAAGTAGCTCTGGGTCATTGAGCAGCCGACCCGCCAGGCCTGAGGGCCCTGTGCCACCGATGATGTCATCCAGCTTGCGGAACCGCACCTCCTCACCGTCTTGGAAGGCATCCACGAACTCAGTGATGTCACTTGGAGGTGAGGCGAACTCGATCGGCGTCGATGAAGTTCCCTATTCCGTCGGAGTGGTCAACACAGCACCTGGAGTGCTCGGCACCCCGGCTGCAGTGCTCAGCACTACTTCTGGACCGCTCATCACCACTCCTGGACTGGTTGGCACCACTGCAGGAGTGCTCCGGACCCGTCCTAGAGTGGTCGGCACCACTGCAGGACCGCTCGGCACCACTCCTGGAGTGCTCGGCACCCCTTCCGGAGTGCTCGGCCAAGTGCTCGACGACGAAGGTGCTGGCGAAGCCGCCTGCTTCCCCCATGCCTAGACTGTCCTAGTCCTAGCCCGCCTTCTCATCGAACACGACGTCACATGAGACAACCACCTTGCCTCTGCGTGGGTCATAGAGCCGGTACGCCTTGGTACCTTCCACGTAGCCCAGGAGCACCATCGGTGTGCTCCTGTCCTCCAGCTTGGTGAGGACCGGCTTCGTCTTCCTGACGTGGCCGATGTAGCCGAATGTCCGGAGGAAGAACACGCTCGGCATGCGCCCATACCAAGCTTCAAACGGCGTCTTACCCTTCAGGGCCTTGGTGGGCAAGCGGTTGAGGATGAACACCGCCATGGTCACCACCTCACCCCAGAATCTTGCCGGCATGCTCTTGGCCTTCATCATGGATCGAGCCATGCCGACCACCGTCTGGTTCCGCCGCTCCACCACGCCATTCTGTTGTGGCGAGTACAGCGCGGTGTGATGTCGCACCACACCCTTTCGATCCGCAATAATCATGCAAATGAACTCCACCAAAATTCGTCTCCGTGATCAGTCCTCGGCACGTAATTCTTACCGCTCTCTTTTAGTTTGCCTTGAACTTCTTGATCGCCGCCGCCGCCGCGTCCTTTTCGTTAGGAGTTGCAAACACATATAGCGGCGCAATCGTCCCGAATTGTAAGGAAGTACCGCCGACCACCGTTTATGGCTGGTGTGATTGGCCCACAGAGATCGCCATGGACAAGCTCGAGAGCGTCCATCGCGATGATACTTGGCCGCTTTTGGGAACGCAGCCTTTTCTGCTTCCCATCCAGTAATGCATCATATAACTTTATTTTACTCTGATGTGGGGCAGCCCTCGGACCATCTTCTCCATTACCGAGCGCGCGGTGAGATGGTCGAAACGGGCATGCCACAGCCATGGCTCCTCGGTGTCTTGCCTTTGCCGAACAGCACAGCACGGTCCATCGCTTCCACCTTCAAGTCGAAGGCGGTACAATTGATTACGTGAGCGCTTTACCTTCGCGAAGATGCCACTCCCGATCCTAAATCCTCGTGATCCCGCTCTCGAACAAGATTTACCTCGATCGCATCCGCTCGTCTCTAGCTGCCCGATGAGATGAAGATTTGCTTGAATGCAACCGCGGATGTACACATCTGTCGGTATGCGGTGCTCACTGCATCGACACCTAAAGATGATGGTGCCGCGCCCTCGGATCGCCACCCTTGAGCCGTCACCGAACTTCACCGTGCCGGTCACATCATCGTCGAGCTCAGAGAAGGCTTCCTTGGAGCCCGTCATGTAGGTTGCTTGTGCCGAGTCCGTGTACCACATCATGCTCCCGTCACGCCCAAATACACACGTCCGAGGTGGACTTGGGTGCACGGTTCGTCGAGGTTGACAGCTTTCAGAGTCTTCCTAGGCCTTTCCACCACCATCACCTCTCCCTTCTCCTTGGCCTCAATGTCGTGCAATGCAAAGAACGTCGCCATCAGGAGAGTGGCCTCATCATCATCATCAGCCTGCGCTAGATAAGCCTCAGCTTTCTTCTCCTACTTGCGATTTGGGCACTCCTTTGCCCAATGGCCCATCTTTCATGAGCGCACAGTGGGCGTTTCTCGGATCGATCTTCTTCTTCTTCTCCCTAGAAGCCTTACCATGCACTTCCTTCATCGCCACCACACGGCTGGAGGAGGCTTCCCGGAGTTCCTCAGGGCAAAGCCCACCCTCCTCCTCATCATGATATTGTCACTTCTGTCCGTCCACTCTTGGCTCGCTGCTCCATATGCTCGCCCACCATCCGCAGATGGCTCATCACCCACATCCTCAATGGTGAGGGTGGACAAGTTCATCTTCATCTCTATGAAAAAACGATCCGATGACTTTATGTACTTTATTGGCATGGAGTGGAGGTACTTGGAGACCGCTCTTCTTCATCGATGGTGACGCCTTGGCTCCCGATATCATTTAGCTTTGGCGATGAGCGTAGGTGCGCCTGCGGAGGGAGAAGTCCTTCACCGATTCACCATCCTTGAACTTGAGGTTGGCATACTCCTCGCTTCAACAGTTGGGCGTCGTCTTCTTTGCGCCTGGTCGGAACCGGCGACATCGCATCGCCGCAATGGCCTCCCACGCCTCCTTAGCGAGCTCTTCGCCTTCAACGCTTCTACCACTCAGACTCCATAGCAATATGGCTGTAAAGAAGAGGCCCACCTACAATGCTTGACATGTCATCTTCTTCGTTGTCGGTGCCCTTGTCAATGTGAAGGACATTCCGAGAGCCAGTCTGCTCTATGGCTCGAGCTTGACCTTCATGGTCACCGCCCACTTGCCATTTTGGTGCGAGTACGCCCACTACTGCCAATGGGGCTCACAAAGAACCTCCCTCCTGCACTCAGGCGCCTTGATATTTCATGCACAAACGACCTCCGCAATGTCGTATGATCAGGCAGCTTACACCCAAAGAACCATGGTGTATCACAGTCGCTTCAGGTAGGGTTTTCGTCGAATCATCTCCTGATCCCAAATCGTCTCGTCCATCGCCAGCCTTCTTATCCTCCAGCCAGTACTCCACCGGTACGCACGGCCTATATCCTAGCTTGCACGCTATGGCTTCGATACCACTTATTGGTCCCTAGATCTTCGCGAACGTGTGAGCCGACCACTCACCTGCGTTGCCGATCACACACTATGGCTAGAGGTAGAAGAAGGGAGGGAGAACAGAGCACACACACAGCACAAGCACCAGCGTTGACCGAAGCTCTGCAGAGGAGATGACAAAACTGAACTCGCTCTTTTTACTGAGTTGCAGTGGGAAGCTATATATACAACTCTACCCATCTAATCCTACAGTGACTAGATGTGACAGCAAGGCTGACTTTTGCGCATGCTCCTGCTGTGGCTACAGGTCTTAGGCGGGGAGAGCCTTTGGCGCCTATCCTCCCGTGCCCATAGCTCTGGTCATACAGTGTGCGCAGCAAGAGGCTGTGTCAACCCATTTTCGGCGAATACCCGCTGGAATTTGTGCGTTCACACAGGGGAGTATCATATTACTTAACAATGCCTCCACTACTGCTCGCACAGGCTCCTGGGTCGCCGAACCATTTCCCCTCTATCCGCGCCATCTCCTCCTGCACTCCAGGTGTCATGATGGCCTTGGATATTTCATGCACCATGGGTGAACCTATTGGGAAAGCCTAAAATATACAACGAAAATCAAATACAATACTGAGTATGAAATATCAGATTGATTAGTGAGATGACTTACAAACCCAAAGCCTCCCAGCCTGTAGGTCGGGCCAACCATGGTGTATCCTTCACAGTACTTTGACAAGAAGATCTTCAGGTAGGGGTTTTCGTCGAATATCGCAGAGACCCCTCCATTTCCTGATCCCATCTGTAGAGCCTCAGCATACTCCACTGTGTCATAACCCAGCAAGTTCTTCTTATGGAAGCCCATTTCCTCCAGCCAGTACTTCACGGCAGAACCCCTTTGGTACCCAACGAAGTGACCATTTCTTAGAAGATCTTGCACGCTAGTCACTGTTGGCTGGAACCGCTGGAATGTCAGCATTGATGTCAAACTAGCCGTATAGCTTGAGGTCAAGATAAGCACGACAAATACCCATACAATCACCACGAGTCTTGATAGGTTGCTCTCCAGTTTCTCCTCTGAAATCAACATGTGATACTTTAGGTCATCAGTTAACTAAGCATCTTTAGCAGCAAACATGGAGGAAATGCTTACTGTGGGAGAAGACAAGAGTCGAGAAGGCAAAGTAGAAGATGATGCCAAATTGTTGCCAAGGTGTGCCACGGAACTCAGGGTTTATCCGGTGCTCTATCGCCCACACAACAAAACCAGTTAGGAAGAAGAAGGCAAGGCTGGTGATCCAGAGGGTATGAGTCAGTGGCTGCAGGAAGATCCACATGCTCCTGCTTGAATCTTTCTTCAGTACCACGATCATTGACAATCCTGTGTCGGTGTAGGGCATTGTGAAGGCCACCTTATTCATCCTGTCCGTCGAGATCGTCGTATCACCAACCACGGCATCAGCTTTCTGCAACCGTCACTGCAAGTTATCATTCACACAAATCGCTTCAAAATTTACAATGGTCATATTAATTACATTTGTCATGTCTACCTCTACACTAACCTTTTCATACACCAGATTGAGAATACTGTCATAAGTGCTAATATTATTAAAGGGTACATATTGGTAGGCCACTAGATAGGGCAAATTCTTCATCAGTGCATAAAAAACATCGATGCAGTAGCCTGTAACAATAAAACTGATGTTTGTTGGGTTGTAGGAAACCTTCACGAGCTGATCGAACCCATGTCTTGAAGGCACAATAACACGAAGCGGGCTTCCAGTTGAAGACACATCCCACCCGCTCGGAGCAGTTGCTAGATCACCTGGCCAGAGGATTTGTTTGAGCCCTTTCTCATTGTTGGCTTTTAAATTCTTGAAGATCCCAGATTCAGGTGTCCAGAACCCAACTGTCCTTGCACCTTTGCCAATGATGTTAACGACCTCATATGTTGAGAGTTGTAACTGGCCATTTACCAGTGTGAACCTCCCTGCCAGCCCATCAAATGTTGTGTTGAGCACTGCACCAAGAAGTGTTCTTCCAGGTGTTGAGCTGGGCACTCTGTTTCTATTGATTGCTGCAGCAAGAGACCATGCTGTGTCATACGCCCAGAGAAGAAGCAGGCTTGGGTTAGGCACCTCTTGAATACCCGGATTTTCCATCTGGAATTTGTCCTTGAACCTTACAGTGAAGTTCATGATACGGTCAGTTGACTGAACATAAGGTCGGAAGGTAACAACACCCTGCATGTTATCAATCCTGTCAGGGCCATAGCTGTCCACCGCACTGCCAAAGCTGGCGGTGGCTATCCAGACGTAGCCATCAGACATCATATCAGCAACACTGGCCTGTCGGAAGAAGCGAGCAGCAAGATCTGGGAGAATATGCACAATAAACACCCGCGTGGAATTCTCCTTGAGGCTGTATACTACCTTGTCCAGGTAGTTCTCAGCTGCATCAATGGGCAAAGCTACACGATCCGTGATGAACGTGTTGTAACCCTGAAGGGCGTACACAAGCTCTGGGAGAATGCCAGCTCCATATGGCGAGTCTTCATAGACCAGGATAGCTTTCCGCCATCTGAACTTATCAAGGATAGCAGCAGTCAGCTCAGCCTGGGAGGAGTAAATAGGTGCAGTATGCAGGAAGAATGGTGCTACCAATGGCGTCAATGCTGCAGAGATTGGAGCAAGTGCGAGGATTGGTGTGAGTGTGTGCTTCCCAAGGTAGGCAATGAACTCGGCTTCGGCTGAAGTCAAAGGCCCAATGATGGCTTGCACTCTATTGTTTCTGATCAAATCTTCAGCTGCAACACATTCGCATAATTCACACTGGTCCAGTCAATGTTGAAGAAATCAAATATGCATCCTTTCTTGCTGACAGAATAGTTAATCAAAATTACATGCTGACTATGTATCAAAATAGCAGCTGCACCTTGTGTAGTTGTGTAGGGTGGTTAATTAATCTACAATCTTACAAATGTAGCACTGCTCACTAATATTTTTTCTTTTAAAAGAGAGGAGGAATTCAATTTCCAATTTTGCATGCTAGCTAGAGTGAAGTACTCTCTCCGTTCAAAATTATAAGACGTATTGGCTTTTTTTTTTAGATACATTGTTTTTAGTATGTATCTAGATATAATATATATCTATGTGCGTAGCAAAAGCTACGTATTTAGAAAAGCAAAAACATCTTTTAATTTGGGACGGACTGAGTAATTGTTTGGCGAATGTTACAGACTTGCAGTTAGGAAAGATCCATCCACTTATCTGTATCTAGGGTTCATACTTCTTTCCACACAAAAAATTCCTAAACATTCGTCATCAGTTTACCATCTTTCACATTTTCTTAGATCTTCTCATACGTGAATACTCGTTCAAACAAACGCGCGGCCCACTACCTGATCGAGTTGAATCGATCTAATTAATCGAACAGCGTACCTGCTCCGTTGAGATGCATTTGACAGCTGTAAGAACAGGTTGCAGAGGCAGAGCTCAACTAGGAGCCAAGAGGTGTGCACATCCTGGCTCCTCCGAGGAGGGGATCAGCAGCAGCCTTGCCGTGGGGATTGTGGAGCGTGGGGACGGCGCAATTGAGGTCGAACCGGGGCAGTGGCAGCGTGGAGTTCATCGGCGCCTCAGCGGGGTGAATGGTAACGCGCATGGCATGCAACTCTCCAGATGGTTACGACAGAGGGCGGGAGCTCGACGGCGGCCATGGCAGGGTTGTGCGAGCGACAGGAAGAAAAGTCTTTTTACCCCCTCCGACCGACAATGCGCGGAGTGTAATTTCCCTCATCCTCAATATAAAATCAAATGTTAGTTAACTTTGAAAACGGTAGCGCTCGCCTTGGGCATCCGTCCGTTCGGACGTGGCGCGCGCTACCGGTCCAAGAACGCTTGCTCTCTCGCTAAAATCTCTCTCCCACTCTCCATCGAAGTCATCCCTTCCACTCCCCTCATTCCTTTCCAGGCAGATAAGGCCTGCCGCCATGCCCATGCCCGACCACCGCCAGCCATGGTCGGCTCCATCGCAGGCTTTGCCCTCGCGCCGGCATTGTCCAGCGTGTCTTTTCAACTAGGCCCCGCCTTCCACGCCCTTGGCCCCTCCTCATAGGTGTGGTGTCTGGCCAGGCCGTGGGTACTCGCCCTCGTATGAGAGAGGAGGATGATGAGGAGGAGGGGCGGCGGAGGTTGGGGGGACGAGAGACCACGAGTTTGCTGGCTACTGCAATTCCCTACCAGGTAGGTCAACGACGTTGTGTTTCAAGTGTTTAAACTGATGTTTTAATTGTCTTTTTATCTAGATATTACAAAAGTAGATCCTGAGATGTTGCATATGTTGCAATAACAATATAAGCATTTTGCAAGCTTATATTTCAAGTGTTTCAGTTGTCTTTAGATTTATGTTTCAAGTGTGTTCATCTATGTTGCATAACATACATATTTCAAGTGTTTCACGTGTTTCATATGTATGTTGCAAGTGTTTTATCTGGATGTTACAAAAGTAGTTCTAAATGTTGCATATGTTGCTATGGCTATACACGTATGTTTTAAGTGTATGAGTGTTTCGTCTGTTTTTAGTCGTATGCTATAAGTGTTACAACAGGATGTTCCAAAAGTAAATCTGATGGAGCATGTGTTGCAATAGCTCCGGTGGCTAGGGACAACGGCTTGCTGTAGCCGCCTACTACTACTGCTGGGGCGCCGCTTACGGGCGCCTGAGGCTGGCGGATGCCTCCGCAATGCGCATCCGCAGGCAGGGTGAGGTAGGCGCACTCCTATATGTTACAGACCTATTACGTGGGTGCGACGGGCGCAATGCGTTCGAACGGATAGCAGCGTTCGGACGCCTCCTGCGGCCGGAGGACGGGCGCTAGCCCTTCCGCTTTCAAAACATTTGTTTTTTACACTATAAGGTTTAGACGGCTGTTTTAGGATGGCACAACGTCAACAGCAGAGCTCAAACAAAATTTATTAAAAAAATAAATACTTTAACAAAAATCTAAATATTATTTAATTTTGAAAAAAAATGCAATTAAGAATCTTGAAATTAGGTGAAAAAACTGAAACAGGTACTTGTCCGAGCTAAAACCAAAATTTTATGATTTTTTAAGATTTAAACTAGACTTTAGAAATTTTGCATAACTTTTCTATGATATTTTCTCTATGCTCTGTCTTTATGTTTGACATTTTGAACGTGTGAAGAGATAGGAGCAGGTAGGTCATTTCAATGAGAAAACAATGGAGAAAATATAAATTTCATGCGTATGTGAAATGACGAAAAAAATACTAAAATACCGATTCAAAATTTTCAAAGACATGGAATGGCATCAAACTAATGGTTGAAGACGAGATGATCACTCCAATGAGTCAGGGATTTGAAGGGGGGAAACTGGGTCTATTTGGATGTTATGGTTTTTTTTTGAAGAAAATGTAGTATAAAAAACTAGTTTTAGGAGAAGAGATGTGAAAAACTATAGTTTAGAAAAAAAGAGATATAAAGTGAAGCTTTTAAAAGTCTAAAAGACTACAATTTTTAGTAATACCATGGTTTTCAAAACTACAAAGACCTTTACGTCCAAATTATAGGTCTCAAAACCATGGTATTTAAAAAAAACCAAAATAATTTACATCCAAACGAGACCTAAGAAGTATTAAACTTTGTTTGTCTTCGATAGAAATGAACTTCTCGGTCTAAAAATTTGTACGAGAACACAAACGGTTTTAATTTAGAGGGTGTTTGGTTATTTAGTCGCTCCTAAAATTCATGTCACATCGAATGTTTAGATACTAATAAAGAGCATTAAATATAGATTAATTACAAAACCAATTACATAGACGGAGGCTAATTTGCGAGATGATTTTTTAAGCCTAATTAATCTGTTATTATCACATATTTACTGTAGCACCACTTTGTCAAATCATGGACTAATTATGCTTAAAAGATTCGTCTCGCAAATTAGTCACAAGTTGTGTAATTAGTTTCGTAATTAGTCTATATTTAATACTCCATGCATGTGTCTAAATATTCGACGTGACAGAAATTTTAGGAGCACATGTAGAAACCAAACAGGGCCTTAGAGGATTTGATGATGATGACGATGCCTTTTACTGGTCCAGAAGAGGAGAAAGAGACATAAGTCAAAGCCCAATAGAGCCTCAGCCTTAACAAGACGAGTTTTAGTAAGCTTGTCGCCTTAAGCTTGGGCTCCGCTAGTTAAAAGTGTTGAGCTCAGCCTTAGAATCATCTAAGCCTTATAAGGTTAACTTGTTTGTGATTCGAGCTAAGACGAGCCAAACACGGGTAATTGGTGATCAACTCTAACATTTGCTTACCAAAGTCTATCTTGTATAATTGGGCTTCAGTAGTTCTGCTAAGGCCATGTTTGGTCAGATTTCTGCTGCTCCTACTTGGACTCCGGCTTTAGTGCATTGTTGAGTACCGTTGAATCTACTTGTGCAGTAACATTAAGACCTTATTTGGATTTACCTCAATCTACTCCAGCACATGTGGATTGATGCGAATCCGACTACATCCAAACAATGCCTAAAATGGCTCCAACTCTCATAAGTCTAGAAAGAACTACGGAGAGAGAAAAGTTTTCTCTGGCTCTAGCTACATTATTATCTTAGGGAGGATTTGGGTTATGGGACGCCAAACCACAACTAAAGCTGTCACACTACTGTTTGGTTATTGATTAAAGTTAGGCAGTCACAGCTTTTACAGGTTATATTTTCGCCACGGTTGTGGTGCCCGATTCTACCACCACCAAGTGTGGCGCTGCCACACATTGCATGGCGCAGTTTGGCTAGGAACCGAACAAACCCTTAGTTGTGGAGTTAAGCGCGTGATGTATGGCAATAGTAGGTTTTGAAGCTAGGATAGTACCGGATCTTGTTATAAATTGCAACGAGCAAAATGAGAATGGACCAAATCAAAGGGCCTGCTTGGTCTACGACTAAATTTTGCCAAGCCAAAATTAGGTAAAAAATTTTTAACATAGATTTAACAAGTCAAATATGAGAGGTTAGCAAGTTTTGGTAACAAACCAAATAATAGTTAAAATTATGGCTTGTCAAATATTTGGCTTGACATAATTTGAAAGTTAACCAATCAGACCCAAAAATTTCTGGCTCATTTTTCAAATCAAAGTACCTGTATTCAAATTCGGGTTTTTGCAATTTGATTTGCTTTGTTACTTGAAATGCTTAATTCCAAGACAGCAGACATGGGTGGGCGTTAGGTGTGTTTTATCTTCGTCGGGTGTGTGTTACCTTTATGTGTATTTGTGTAATTATCGCCTGTACTGCTGTATTTGGGTTTTGGTGTCGGTTTTCCATGCAGGTCCGGTTTCCCTCCTTCCATTTTTTCGTTAAAAAAAGAAGAAGATAAAGCCGGCCTTACCAGCGTGTGCTGCGGCGACGACATCTCCACGCGTGTCCCCCACGAGCAGGTGCACCCGCCGGCTGGAGTTGGCATGGGCAGAATAGAAGTCGTCTAATGCCATGGAGACGCAGGTGAGGCTCTTCCTCCCCGCCTCGCTCGTCAGGTTCAGCACCACGCCGACTCGCACGGCGGCCGCCGATGGCAGCTCGGAGGCGGAGGCGGAGGCGGACGAGAGCACGAGGAGCAAGTGGAGGAGAGCAAGGCCGCGTGGGATCATGGACCGCAGTACCATTAGTTCACACTCAACCAACTAGTCGCAGGATCGGAGTTGCAGAGCCACAGACGCATCGTATTAATTTATATACAGTAGCCACGCGTTTCAAGTATTTCAACAAGGGCTAAAATCTCCCAGAAAATTCAAACTTATACCGTAGCCACGCGCTTTAGAATTCCAGCAATAGTTGAAAGTTCCCTCGAATTCATCTATAGCGGGGCCAGGGGGAGCACGCTGCAGTGGCGCTATCAAGATGAAATCGATAAGAAGATGAAAAATTGGACCACTAGCAGGGCTCCTCCTGAGCGGCTTCTTCGTAGGAGCTAGAACCGGAGTCGTTTTAGAGCCACTAAAAAATAGCGTGGCTCCTTCAAAACGACTCTGACTATTCTGTTTTTTTACTACAAAACAGCTCATCTAATAAAATTTTTGTATAGCTCTCCGAAGGAGCCAGAGCTAGGAAGGAGCTCTATCAGCCGTGATAACAAGCAAAGAGTAGCATCACCCTTAAATATACTCTTGGCCGGAGCTTTACGTGATTACGTCGGCTTGTTTTCATTGGTAGTGTTTTACGTGATTACGTCGGCTTGTTTTCATTTGTAGCGACACTACCACCCTTTGACCACAGCTGTAGGGTTTGTTTCCCAAAGCTCCACCGTTAGTTCCAATTCTTTAGTAAACCGGATTCTTTGCTTTTAAGGTACAAAATAAGAACTAAAAAACCTCTATTTTACAGTACCTTGTACTGTAGTAATCAAGGAGTTGGAGCGCAGCCAAAATAGCCTTAGCAACGGTGCGTAGAGTATTCCTTTTCATGCCCATACTCTTGGTCAACGAGCACCGGTGAGTTTTCAACACTCAGGATAAAAATCTTCCAGTAGGACTGTAGGAGTATAACATGTTGATCATTTCCACCAATTTCAAGTCCTTATTATGGTTCCTTTTATGAGAAAAAATGTCTAATGATTTAGATTCTCTCATTTCTAATCCTGAACGTTCTCGTTGGACTTTCGACAGAATCAGCAACCAACAAGAAAGCCATGGTAAGCAGAACAGGACCGATCCTAATTTAAATGATTCGGGGCAGAGAAACGCATGAGATAAATAAAGAAAGATCACCAGCCAATGGAAAATAAAATCGGCGACAAATGAGCTTGCATCCTTCGGTGATTCAGCGCAGTTTAGCCTCGCTTCTATAATCTACTCCCTGAACAGACCAGTACTTGCGAAACGAAAAATGCTTTCCCAGATTGTCTGTTTGAACACCTTTGCAGGATCATATTGTTCGAATCGGAAAAGAAAAAAAAATCCTTCTATCAAACTTAAAACGCACCGTAACATCTTCAGTACCGACCAAGCAGTAACATGCTGCCAAGCTTCCCACCAGTCGGCCCAGCAGCCAGCACTTCCCTCGATCACGCCCGCGAGCGGCCGAGTCGAGCGCCATCGATTCCCCAAAGGCTGAAGGCGTTGGTGTTAGCTAAATTATTGCACCATTTTGTATAAACTTTGTTCATCATCTGCATTAGTCAGGTTAGCGGGTAGCGCGTGGCTGGAGGCGTGCTCGGCCCACGACGCAGCCTGGTTGGGTCTGTTTGTCAGTGCCATGGCATGTGACGCTGCACGTAGCGCGCGTCGCGGTGAAACGGCGTTGCGCACGGCACGCGGCATGGCGCGGGGACTCGGAGGTTGTTCCGAGATTCCAGCGTTGCGTTGTGTAAACAAAAGGGCAACGAGATGATCCGAAAGAGCTGCGACAGTTCTGCAGCGCATATCTCTCTCATGTGTTTTCGCGTTTTCATCTATCTCGCTCTCGCCGCGGTCACCGCGCCACCGCCAACATTCGCGTGTCAAGGCATCGCCTAGCTCCAACAAGTGGTATCAGAGCCGCGGGTTGCCGAGGGGGAGGCGTGTTGTGGTGGTGAAGAGTTCCTGAAGACACCGGGTGGAGTAGTTCACCGGATCGGAGGAGAAGGAGGCGTGAACACTGTCACTGACATGGGTGAGCCGAGTGACAAGGAGGTGATGGAGCGGGCGTTCATTCAAGCGGCCGAAAATCGGGTGTGGCCGATGTTGACCCGCACCAATTACCAGGAGTGGTCCTCGCACGTGCAATACAATCTCGAGGGTATGTTTCTCTGGGACGTGATTGAATCTGACAAGGTAGAGAAGCGTCGGGATCGGCTGGCTCTTGGAGCCATGATCCGGGGCATGCCACAGGAGATGCATTCCATGCTCCTGAACAAGAAGACGGCAAAGGAGGCATGGGAGGTGGTCAAGACGATGCGTCTTGGAGCAGATCGCGTCAAGGAGGTGAACGCCCAGAAGTTGTTGGCGGAGTTCGAGTCAATCTCGCTCAAGCCAGGAGAGACCATCGATGATTTCACCATCCGCATCACCAAGCTCGCCACGGATTTGCGTGGCCTCGGGGAGAACAGCGTCAACGACTCACGCGTCGTGAAGAAGTTCCTCCGAGTCGTTCCATCGCACTACAATCAAGTGGCGGTCACGATCAAGATGTTTTGTGACATGAAGACGCTGACGATCGAGGAGTTTGTGGGTCGCCTCTGGGAAGCAGAAGATCGGTTCGACCCTCGGTGGAGCAAGTCACGGACAAAGCTGGTCACCTCCTATTGATGGAGGAAGATTGGGCGGCTAGGAACAAGAGCAGTATGCTGCCAGAGGCAACATCATTCTTCAGGTAGCAAGGGCGGTGACCACTACGTCAAGAAGGAGAGGTCCGGGGCGCGCGGGGGTGGCGAAGCGCACAACTCTGGTGTGAAGCTCACGTCGATGGGCACTCCACGACGGAAAGGCAAGTGCCGTAAGTGTGGCATCTACGGGCACTTCACGAAGCAGTGCAAGACGAAGGCGCTGAAGGAGGAGCGGCAGGAGGCCGCTAACCATGCTAACGCCGACACCAAACAGCCAGCGCTCATGGTGGCGCAGGTCTGCAATCTGGTGCAGACCACGACGATGGGTGCGCAGCGCATGTATGTCCTTAATCAAGAACACATGTTCCCGACCGAGTACAATGAAGGGGCGTGGGTGCTGGACACCGTGCCACGAATCATATGACTAGGTGCCGAGAGTCGCTGGCGAGCCTCGACGAGTCGTTGCGTGGAGTCGTGTGGTTTGGAGATGGATCCATGGTGGAGATCCACGGGATCAGTGCAGTGATGATCACCAGGAAGAACCAGGATCACTGAGTGCTCACCAAGGTATATTACATCCCGTCCCTCAAATGTAATATTGTCAGCCTTGGTCAATTGGAAGAAGGGGGTGTCGCATCAAGATCGATGATGGCGTCCTGAAGGTGTTCAAGCGCCACCATGCAGTGAACCAGCAGCGGGGCGTTCTGATCTGGGCAGAGTGGAGGAATCGCCTGTACATTGTGAAGGTGACCTGACCTCGCCCGTTTGCCTGCTGACCAAGATGGATGAGGAGTGTAAGTGCAATCAAGCTCTAAGTGGGTTTTGGTGATGTTGACCACATAATTAAAGGATTAATGGCTTTGACAAGTGTTTGACAGTATATCTTTAATCGTGAGTGCAAAGAAACAAAGGAGGAGACCCCCAACTCGAATGGATGGCTAGCAACGGCTCCAAGAGCTAGTTTAAATTTTTTTATATTTTGAAATTGAGTTATAGGACAAGCCGTACTATCAAGGGGGATACTAATAGTGTGCTGGGTGGAACCAAGTGCTCAAAACTCCATCAACATCTCCAATAATTCCAGCCACAAAAAGCCAGCCGAGCTGAATTCTTATCTGCTCTGGCCTACGCGGAACCTCCACTCTCAGGTGCGGAACCTCCGCGACGCGGAACCACCGCGTCCTGACGTGGAGGCTCTGAGGTATGTCTAACCCGACCATTTTGTGGGTGATGGTGGGGTATTTATACTCACCCCTTCGCCCCCAACGGTTATCTTCTTCCTGAACTCATTCACTGCGAATAGAAGCTCTCTCTCCCTCTCAAGCTCAGTGCATCCCAACTCCCTTGCTCAAGATCTCCGTGATTCCTTGAGGGATTTGACTCTAGAGAGTGTGAGAAAGCTCGAGAAGATTCTTCTCCTTCATTCTTGTGCACTTGGTGAAGCCCTAGCTGCTTGGTGTGTTCGTTACTCTTGGAGCTTGGCTCCTAGACGGCTAGCGGTCGTCCGGTAGCTCCCAATCCGCTGTGGTTGAGCACTGGGACGTTTGTATTACCCTCAGTGACTTAGTGGAATCCTCCAATCCATTGCCTCAGTGATAGGTTAGAGAAGAGGAGCGAGTTGAAAGAAACTCCATAGCCTTTGTGGCTAACCTCAACAACGTGGACGTAGACAAGCCTTTGTGGCAAGTTGAACCATGGGATAAATCCTCGTGTCCTCTGTGATTGCTGTTGTTGTTTCTATTACTTGTGATTTGAATTGATTTTTAGAGTTTGCATTCGATCTATGAATCCCTCATCCTCTAGGTGCAACCGATAGTTTGGATAGCTCAACACACTCCCTAGGAAGGATGGTATTATATTCGATCTATTTTTCATTCGTTAAATTCCATAGTAGATCAATTTCTTACTCTGATCCTAGAGGTTCCACGCTTTGCCCCGAAACCTCCACGTTCAGGCCCGTAGGTTTCGCGTTCTAAGTGGTTTCGTGAAGTTAATTAAATTTCAGAAAAAGGCCTATTCACACGCCTCTAGGCCACTTGCCAGATGCTTTCAATTGGTATCGGAGCAGGTTTGCTCGTGATAGCACTTAACCATGTGAGGAAATGATAAGTCCTAGAGAAAGGGTACCGGAGGAAGATGGAGAGGACCGCTTTGAGGATGTTCCTAGTGAAGAGGAACCCAAAGCTTTTGAGGATGATCCCACATCAGCGCTTGAGCGACTTCCAAAGCTTAAGCTTGGTGCGAAGGGATCCTCCAAGGGAGACAAGCAAAGGGACAAGAACAAGAACAAGGAGAAGAAGAAACACAAAGCAAGAAGAAAGATGCAATCAAGCCCACAACCAAGCAGCAAGTCGAAGAATGGAG